GAAGCACTCGTGTTATCCCACTTAAATTATGGGGATGTAGTATTTGGGCCTGGACTTTTGAAAAGGGATCAATTAAGATTACAGCGAGTACAAAATTGTTGTATTCGGCTTATTTATAGTTTGAGAAGGTGCACACCAACTTCAAAATATTTAAAGGAATTGAAGTGGTTAAATTTAGCAGAACGACGAGTTTTACATCAATGCTTACTTTATCACAAAATTATAGTTACTGAAACACCAGCTTATTTATATAGTAAAATTTGATTCAGAACGGACGTCCATAATTTAAATTTAAGGAATAGAGGTTGTCTAACTATGCCAAAACATAAATCAGTTTTGTTTGAAGGCTACTTTTCTTATAACATTGTTAAGTTGTACAACTGGTTACCCGATGACTTGAAATTATTCACAGATCATATATTATTCAAGTATAAATTAAAAAATGTAATGCTAGATAGAAAATTACTAATAAATTCTGTAGGTCGATAGTTATAGTTTTTAGATAAATTTAAATTTTATATTCGCTTTTATTATATTAGTATTATTGTAATGTTATTATTGATATACTTACTGGTTCTTACTCATCTGGCTGATTTTTATTTTTTTATTTTTTAAGTTAAGATGTTAAGTTGTTTACGGTTTTGGGTTTTCAATATTTTTTTCTCTCATATTCGTAAAGCCATATTGTGCGCTAGATTGAATAATTATTAAGTGAACATGCAGGGTACATCTATACATCGAAAGATGTATAGGTATGTCTATCATAATACTGGTTGAATGGAAGAGCAAAACTCTGATTTTTATCAGAGATTTTGAACTCTGCCATTTGGCAAACTATTTGTATTTATATATTTTTTTTTCTTTCTTTGTATTAGGTACTTAGTTTGGCCAATAAAAGCATTTATTATTATTATTATTATTATTATTATTAAGGTTACTACTTCTAAATGTGTACAAATTGTCGATTCAAGACGATTTTTACACTTTATCTGCGTTTCTATCAGGTTAAGTTGTCCATTTGGAGTCGACAAGAAGTATCCAAGCAGTGCCTTCCTGTGGTGTGTGGACCAAATTTTCACATTTATCTTCAAGCATAATATTGTAATGTAAAGTTAGTAATGGATCTTTTGGAAATTAATAAAATCCTGTCTCTTTGGCAAGTAAGACATAGCTATGACAACTTCAACTTAACTGTCAACTGTATTACCAACAAAGTATGGAGCCTAGAGGAAAGAAGAACTATCTCTGTATACAAAAAGTAAAAATGTATGAAATTAAGATAACGTATAGCGTGTAGCAGAGGGATTCTTATGTGCGAATACAGGGCACATAAGCTTATAGCTAAAAAATAAAGAATGGACAAAGATATTGTAACAGTTTCTCGACTATGATTTAAAAAAAAATGGTAAAATGTGGGAAATAAAATGATTCTCAAATAAAAGAATTTATTTCGACTGCTTGGGTTTTTTTTACAATAAACAAGTATCAAAACTGTAAAATACCTTATCTAAGAACACCCTACGCTAAAAATCTAAACTAATTAATTATAGAATTCTGGTTGTTTACCACAGAATATCTTTGGACTTGAGTTTTAGGGCTTGATCGATCCTCAATATTAAGTACCACAACAGCTTCGTGGTGTGGCATAAGCCGCTGGACTGCGACGCTCGCAAAGTACCTTTGGTAAGTTACCTTCTTCCAAACTACCCTTTCACCGAAGTAGGAAAGATATATTATGCTTTTTAGCTTCCCTGAACAAGACCACATAAACTAAGAAAATATCATAAAATTAAATTTTATTCTATAATTCAAAGGCAAAATTTACCGTGGTCTCAATTCAAAGATGCTTCACAAGGAATCTTACAATCTAAAAATGTGGATGACGGCTACAATTTCTATTGACCTGACATTTTCATCTCTTAAGTCACTTACTAGATAATTTTTCATGGTAGTATAGGATTTAATTTGTGCCATTTGGCACAATGTCAATATTAAAAATATATATTAATTACAAATTTAAAGTTTATTTCATAAAAAAAAATGATTTTATGCAATAAACTAGTAGGATGATGAAATAAATTGTTATGTGATAAGAGTTTTTGTTTTGTTTGTTTGAACATTTTTGTATTGACTATGAAAGAAATTAAACTTGAAATACAGGGTACTGAAATAACTAGAGATATCTACTGGATATTGTTATTTATATTAAAACATCAAATTATGTTTTTTCAACACCTACATGGATATTAACTTATCTACGTAACCTGGGACCCTGGATCCGCAGGCAGAGACTCTACCACTGAGACTCCCACCCCGTATATCCACTCTTGTTGCACAAACTGCCATTAATACAAATATAACACATCATTGCAAATAAAAAATAAAATCAGTACATCCTAAAATTCCTTAAAATTAATATTTCGTTTAGAAATCTCCCAAATTAAATTTAACATATATTATGACGTTAAATATGTTACGTTACCACCATCGAGATTATAAAGTAGAGACGGTATTAAACACTATTTTGCGATACGATAAATGGATGCACTAAGCGATGCCTGACTGACGGAAAAGTGTAATTAAAATAGCGACTTACGAGCTATACTTTGATTTATTCGAAGTCAGTAATTTTATATTTAAAGACTGACGGAAATAAACTTTTTATATCATTTAAATAAAACTATTTTAATAAAATGGGCATTTATTTACATCAAAACTGACTAGCTCCACTAGCTCGATTTTGACACATGACGTAAAAGTGTAATGCAAAGGTGTGGACATTTTTAACGGCCAATTTCATAATCAATTTAAAGGACACTTTAATTTTAAAGTATCTTTTAACCATATAGTTTAAATAGCTTAAAGTCTCCTTTCATTAAAGGCCACTTTAGCTATCGATTATGAAATTGGCCGTAAATCGTCATAGCATTTCCTCTTTATTCTATCTCAATGGTTACCACGTTATGTGTAGTATGTTATTATAGCAAACTTTTAAAGAAATACCGTTACTGCTTTTGTGTGGACTATGGAGTGTAGAAGAAAGAAGTACAAGCTCATAATATGGTTGTTTATCTCAAAAAGTGTCCACCAAAAAGATGTAAATAAGGTTTCAGAAAGCGGCCAGAATGGCGCTCGCGAACTAGAAGGTTATGACCCAATGCTATATAATAGTTATATAGATTGCTCAGCTATATATAAATCGAGGACGAAAAGCGGATTTCTATCTCAAGTAATAAAGAGATGGATACATGTTATTTTATTAATTAATAGAGAATTGAAAAAAATTAAAAATTATATTATTATATTATATTTTTTTGGACTAATTATGAAAACATATTTCTAAAAATTGCAATTTAATATTTTTTTTTGGTACGGTGAATTATAAGCCTTATTTTAATTAAAAAATTGTAATATTAAAAGATATGTGGAAAAGGGGCAATAACACCAATATTTTTTGAGAAAGTCTAATGTAGAAATAGATAATTTTAATAATTTCACTTAATGTGCAAACTTTTTATATATTTTTCAAATTTTACTTTTAAAAGATATTGCAAAATAATCAAAAATTAAAGAGTATATTTTGAACGATCCATTAATTACAAATAAATAATTTTACAAACCATTTTTATTTTCATTGAAACATATTTGTTTAAATGTTTAATTTCAAAAAGAACAATAAAATTAAAATTAACATTTGGCATAAAATGCATAAGAAATACAGGTACTCATGAACAACTAAAATAACTACAACTTTACAAGATATTGAAAAACAATCAAAAAGCGTACTTTGAAATGTACTATTTACATATGGGTGAGCAATCTATATAAAACTAGAGACATCATTGGTGTGACTGTGTGATCGTCTTATATGCTCTAAGGTGTGATCTGAATTATCGACTGTCACAATTTTCGACGTCCTTCTGGTACATTAACGCTATCTTAATTTCAAACATTTTGAGGGACACTTTTTGTAAACAGAGTTAGTTTGCCTTACCTCTAACTCCATATGTTTGCAACTTTATATTACACTTTTACGGTATATGTAAAAATGGATCTAATGGAGCTAGTCAGTTTTGGTGAGAATAAATGCCATTTTTTAAAATAGCTTCATTTAATTGATATAAAAACATTTTCATTCCGTCAATTTTCAAATATAAAATAATTATTGACTTCAAATAAATCAAAGTACATTTTGATTACACATTTCCATCACTCGAAGTGCGTCCATCTGTCATATCGCAAAATAGTGTTTACGTCATCTCTTCTTCATTCTATTTCGATGGTTTCACTTGATATTTTTAAAGTTTCATAGCATTTAAAGTTTAATTTGATTTTAGGATAAAAAGAAAGCAGTAAATATTGACAGGTACAATGTCGATAATGCAGTTCCCATGGAGTGACAGTCTGTTGGAACTATTTGTATACTTGAACGAATATAATTTAATAAAAAAACTTAAATTAAACAAAACGTTTTTTATTTGCAATAGTGTTCAGAAATTACAATAAATTCTAAAATATATTTATCTAAACTGTGCGTCACAGGATTAATATCTACACATATTTCGTATAATAAGAAAAATGCGAATTTGTGGACATATAAATTATGGAGGTATAATGATATAAATGTAAGAATATTGTCTATTATTGAGGTAGCAGTCATTACCTACATTGTTCTAAAATTTACTGGTTCATTTAGGACAAAACGGATCATACCACTGAGTCTAGTAGCAATGTGTATGGTCTTATACGGAGCTCGAGAATGGCTAAGTCTTGAAGTACCAAACATATAGCCATGTCCAACAAATTGCAGAAAATCTGTAGAAACTTGTCGTGGTATAGGAGCTAGTATAAGCAAATGAATTAAAAGTAATTTATGACATGTCTATAGATTTATTGGCAAACGATATTGCAACAGTTACTATGTATTGAGAAAAATTACCACTAAAAGTTATACATGAAACTCGTGCTATATTGTCAAAACGATATTTTTCCTTATTTGATTAGTTTAGGAATGGCAACTGTTTCCTCCAATGCCCGTATATTATCTGTACAGTACGAGCAGCAATGATGTAAAAAAGTTCGATTAGACTCAAAATGCTGAAGCCTAGGAATACGCCTAACAGTCCTCCCGTGTAAGCTGAAATGAATAACAACAGATAATATTGAGAATATTTATTCGTATATTTTCTTATTTTTACCTACTAAGTCCGTGAAGTCAAATAGGCGAGCTTTCATGATTTTTTCGTAGTGGTTTTCGATGAAGAATAGATGCAATATAGCGTAGTCTTTCCTGAAAAAAAAAAAAAAAAACGTTAAATACAATGATCCCAAATTCTAAAATACTAAAAAACTATTTTTTTACAGGCCTCTAAGATCTGAAGGCTTGTAAATGTGAAATGCTAAAGATTAGGTTTTAATGCGTTCAAAAGTATTTTAACTTCCAATTAGGAAAACCTATGTATGACTTATCTTCATAGGTTAAATTTTTTCTCAAACAATATACTATCATAACTTTTTTGATCTTCAATCAATAAATGAAACACAAATGCGGCAAATGAGTTGCTATAGCATCAACAAGAGCTGCAAACAGTTCTAGAAATACAAATAAAATTAATGTCTGTTTGATTGCTAAAACACATTTCACCAAAGATTCATTCATCAAATTTAAAATGATCATCCAGAAAATGCAACGAAATTTAGAAGTGTATAATTAAGGAATCAACTTTAAATCATCAGGAAATGGGTTACCAAATAGTAGAAACACAGGCCACATCTGTTAATATTAAATAAAAACAGATTATTATAACCTACAGCTTTATATAGCCCATATATAGGGGAGTATGGGGCAATGTGAAGCGGGGGAAATGTAAACCACCTAGGTTTTTTTCATAACAGCGGCAACAGTGCAGCGGATTCCATTCTATTTATGTGCATACGGTTCTATAAATACTCAGTAAGAACTTGCCATCTGTGGAGGATTGTTTGTTAGAGTTTAGAACCAAAACGTGTTTTGCGGCGGCGTCAATCTAGCAAACGTGCTAACTGAAAATCAGAATTACTTGGTAAGTAAATGTATTTCTATTTTTTTTAGTCTCAACACGTTATTTCAAGTGTGCTTAATATATACCAACGATTTTTGTTAGGATTTGTTATCACATTTTAATATACCTTACACTTGTTTAATTTAATCTCTATGTGGGGCAAAGTGAACCGTTCTTTAGAACCTACTACAAACGGTCTGTCACAGTCTAACAATAATGAAGCAATTGCTTCAACATCTACTGCCGAAGAGACTCTATCACAGCTCACACAATCTAAGCTGGAAAAAGAAGTTTCTCTTCGCTCTACAGAAAATAAAAAAAATAGTAGTTTTGGATCAGAAAGATCCATCGACATTCGTCCACTTCCAAAGACTACTAACGCAAATAAACCATTACGAAAAAATAAAAAGGGCAAAGCAGCAATCCTAACATCTAGTCCTTATTGGAGTTAGAAGCTGAACTAAAAATAAAAGAGGATAAAGAAGCAAAGAAAAAAGAAACAGTTAAAAGAAATATTGAGAATCAAGAAAATTAACCAAAGAAAAAAGGTCCAGTTTCAGAAAAGTATTTCTAAAATAGATAAAGGAAAGCAGAAAATGAAAATTTTAGTTCATGAGGATGAAGACAAGGGAGACAACGATGCAGAATGTTTTTACATATTGCCCAACCCCATGGGGCAATATGAACTTCAGACATGTTTTCAGATTTTATTTTTTTTCTAACAAATAAGTTTTAAGAACTGAGTCTTGTAAGTGCATAATGATAGTACAAAACTTACTGGACAATGTAAGCTTATTACAATTTTAAATTTTATCTTAATAAGGAAACTATAATTTTTTTTTATCTTAGATAGTTCACATTGCCCTATCCTCCCCTGCAGGAAAATCAATATGTTGATTTCCTGGAGAGCCAAGGATATAGATTCATAGTGGGACGAGTCTTTAATGAAAAAACATACTGTGGATCTAATGTGACGATTACTGAAGGGAAATAATTATTAGTATCATGCTATCAACACAAATGTCAACTGGATAGCCAACATACTAGCTCACTGATCCAGAAAGAATTCCTGATACTATAGATTTTTCTATAATTAAGAATATCACCTCAAATTATATGCATGTACCTATAAAAAACATACAATATAAACTCAGATCATTCTTCCACACTTTTCATATTGAGTGATATTGTAATCGAAAAAAAAAAAAAAAATTACCTAAACTAGTCAATAGACTGCCTAAGCTTCACAATTAACCTTGAATAACTAATAAAATTGATCTCTCGATTCCATTAAGAACTTAACCAAGGAGTTGAACTTCTTGTCAAAAATATTTAACAGGCAGCATGGGAAAACACTACTGGAATTAAATGGATAGTAATAATTATCCAAAAAAGACCAGATATCTTATTTTATAAAAACGAAAAATTAGAAGAAAATGTCACCAGTCTCTACCACCAGCTGACAAAATAACTTTAAATAATGAAACATCTAAAAATGAGTCGATTGACAAATATTTAAGTAAATTAACTAAAGATTGGATTATTCTTTACCAAAAAGGTTTTCTGTACATAATCCACTAATTAAAAACAAATATAGAAGCTGGGTCCGAAATAAATTGCAACGAACATATTTGCGAAACGGAGAGTACTTTTCAACCCAATAATGGTAAAGATCTTCAAGACAGGATTGAACTCGAACATGAATACTAGTGTGGCCCAAAAAAGCAAATATTTTTTAATTTAGGTCTCCTATGAAAATATGTTGGTTTATCATGTTTTAAGATCCCCCTCCAAAGGACAGCTCAAAAAAACATTTTTAAAGGGTCGCTCAGAATTTTTAAAAAATTCCAAAATCGTCGAAAACAGGATTTTTTTTGTTTTAAAATTTTTTTCTCATTATTTTATTTTTTTCTATAAGAAAAATTATAAAGATCCTAAAAATTTCAAGTCAAAATTTTAATATTGAAAGGTCACTCCGAATTTTTCTAAGGTTCCAAGTCGAGTACTTTACTCTTTGAGCTACTTTTGAACATGAATATTAACGAACTTTATATTTTTTTTTTCAATTTTACATACTATAGAGTGTGAAATTGAAGTACGAGAAACGAAAAAAAAATTTAATGAAAACAAAAAAAATATAAAGTTCGTTAATATTCATGTTCAAAAGTAGCTCGAAAAGATATAAAGTACTCGATTTGAAACTTCGGAGCGCCCTTTCAATATTACAATTTCGACTTGAAATTTTCAGGATCTTTATGATTTTTCTTATAGAAAAAATAAAATATTGAGAAAAAAAATTTAGAACAAAAAATCCGGTTTTCGACGATTTTGGAATTTTTTAAAAATTTGGAGCGACTCTTTAAAAATTTTTGTTTGAGCTGTCCTTTGGAGGGGTCCCTTAAAGCATGATAAACTAACATATTTTTATAGGAGACTTAAATAAAAAAAATGTTCGTTTTTTTGGGCCACCCTAATGAATACAGTCATTAAAACTCGAATCGAATCTCTCGAAAATAAGTTTATATGAAAATCCAAAAAAAGCCTATCAATTACCTGAGACATCTTAAAAATGCTTCCACGGAAAGCTATTGTCAAAACGACCAATCTCATCAATGCCTTATTTATACTAAGACACCTAAGAAAGGTAATCTTCTCCATGGAGTTACATCGTATCTACAGCCCTGTTATCTAGAAACTCTACCGAACAATTGCTTCTTAAGATACCTATTAAAACCTATAATAGAAGAAAAGAACTTAAACCCTTCTCATCAGTTTTGATTCAGAGAAAAACAGTAGATAATTGACCAAGCTCACAGAACAACAAATATCATCGAGAAGAGTCCTTAAAAGAGAGAAAATGTTGTCCTACCGCCTTTTTGGATGTTGGTCAGGCTTTCGACAAAATAGGACATAAAGGCTTGATTGTTAAACTGAACATCTATAGCCACGTCATATATTGTATGTACTTAAATCGTATTTATCAAAAATATATTTCAGAATAAAATAAGAAGAAGCCTATTCTGACTTAAGAGAAAGCCAGAATACCTCAAAGTAGTGGACTCATTCTAAAAGCTGTATAACAGAGATATAACATTTACTAATAATACTGCAACCCTGACTATTGAAAAGAATTAGGAAGAAACTAACAAAATTTTTCAAAAATCTATTAACACTTGGACTTAAATTTAATGCAGGTAAATCTGTCCAAATTAATTCCAGGAATAAACAAAATCAATAATTAGCACATTAAAATTCTGTCTAGGAATATCGACAGTCAATGTCTTGATGGTCTTAGAAGAAAGGGAACTTGTCTAGCATATAAAGGATATGCGATAGGCTCTTTTTCAAATCTTCAAGTATTTGTTTTCACCTTTGGGGTTCGAAGATGGCCTCAATAATTCGTAGGGGGATTTTTGAGATTGGTTTCCGAATTTTCAAATCAGTCAGTTGAACCTACGTTCTCGTGAACGTATGACGTTGAATCCCCTATCTATCTTGATGCGCATGACCACCTTGCTGATCTTCTGAAACAAGTGGGCCATCGAGTTATACTTACGTTTCGTTATGTTCTAGGCTTTCCAAATCGAAGACTCGATCTACAGTAGAGTTTAATTTCCCATAAGACATTTTTGCTCCGTAGGTAACCGAGCTGCATTGACTGTAACAATTACAGGATACGCTAAAAAAATTGTAGAAATTATTAAGTTTCATCTAAAAAAAAATTAAAATATTCCTACTATCTATGCAGCGTGAACCTTTAGAATGGAAAACATCAATTATACTTCAATAGGCCCATCCTTCGAAAAGATCACATTGGTGTAGTTTCGTTCTGATACGATCTATCTGCGTAGTGTTTACAGTGATAAGAAATTTCGCCCAGGCCTCATTTTTACCGGTATATATTAGTCATTCTAGTTCTTACGCTCGAACGGTGAACTTTAAAGGTACCATTTCGGTAGGCGCGACAGACGACCGCCAACGCGACATACGACCGCCGACGCGACCGAGAAGTGTCGCTTCATATCTAAAATACATACAATTATATGAAACACATTTGGCACGGCGCGACACGAGAAGTGTCGTCTTGACGACACTTCCTGATGACACTTCTGAATCTGTCTCGGGGTCACTGTCCTCGGAGTGTCGCACTCGAGGTTGGAAATTTATTTTGATCTTGCCAGATTTTGGAACAGTATGGGTAAAAAAACCGTAGATCTGAACAGTAGATTTTAATACAGGGGGAAATAATTATAATTTGCAGTGTAGTAAATAAAAAAAACAAGTATATAAGAAACGAAAAATAAACTTTTTTCTGCCCAAATTAGAAAGTAAACAAAGATTAAAAACAAATAAAACATTTTTATTATATACTTAACGTACGGGAAAAAAACCAATGAAAAATAATAAGTACCTACTTCTTTTAGATCTGTCTGAATCAGATAATTCAAAATCGTAGTGTTTGGCATATGCATGTTCTTTTTATGATGCCCTATTAATTCTTTGTTTCATTTTAAATAAAAACAATGATTATCTTGATGTTTTTTTTTTATGGAGCCAACCTACAGTAGTGGATGCTTATTACGCTACTTTTACTGCAGAAAATTTACTAGAGAAAATATTCTTTAACCATTTGCTGAAGAATGAGGCAAACTTAATAAATTAAGAACAAAATTTACTAGAGACAAAAACACTGGATCTACGTAAAAACAGTAGGTCTGGCATCGCTGATCGTTCCCTCGAATGGTTATTTGTAAGTGTCGCGCGACACTTCTTCAAGCTTCCGAAATGTACGGAGCGTAACATTTATGCATCTGTCGTCCTACTATTTTTTCTGATTTTTTCTTATTTAATAATTTTAAGTTGGCAGATCTGTCATGGTGGTTATTATTTTTATATAATTTTATGTAGCTATACTTTTAGATATAGAGGGTGTAATTATTTAATTAATGTTAACATTTAAAAAAAATTTTTAATTAAATTATTTTTTCTTCCTATATTTACCGTTATACATTTTTTTAATTTTATTTTTAAAATACATAGTCGGGTTAAAAATTAAAATTTACAAATTGACGTGTGTATATTATAACGACTATTATTTATAATTTGTTTTCTAAAGGTTTGCACTACATAGATAGTATAGATAGGTATAGTTTTTATATTGAACAAAAACATTTATTTTTTGTTTTTTTTTTTTATTTCTTACCTCGGTTGTGACACAGTTTCTTTCAATACCCGAACTGAAAATGACAATATTACTATAATATAGTACATTTTACATTTTACTACATAACAATACTTACTTTGAGCATCATATACACAATCGCTATCGTCTTGTTCGCAAAACTTCATTGTTGGGCCCTCTGAAAAATTCGACAAATTAGATTTTAAAATTCTACATGTTGTTTGGTTAATAAAGGCAAAGGCATCTCGATTAGAGAAGATACCATTACGACACGATGCGCATTTGTCTGCTGTTTTAGTTTTTCTATGCTGTTATCGATCACTTTTGTACTATTAACGCCCGTATGCACCGTACACGTTTAATCTTAATCGCGTTTAGTGCCATAGCTAACAATGGTACTAAATGCGATTAAACCCTTGATCTGGATTAAACGTGTACAGTGCATACGGGCGTATGTCTGTTCCAACAACGATCCTAAACCAGTCATTGACACCAGGATTCTGTGCAGTTAATAATTTAGTCCGGCAAATTCATACTGCGCATAATCCTGGTGTCAATGATTGGTTTCTGATCGTTGTTGGAACAGACCTTGCACACGCCACTAGTTTGAAGTCCAGCTGTTTTGAAATGGTGACGTCGATCCCGGAAGTGTGATGTAATGGTATCGTCTCCATTCGGGTTCCCTTTATAGACGAATGCCAATTTTTTCTTTACACGTTTATTTAACTACTTACTAGGAAGGTAGTATGGAACACAGCCACAAGTCTTATAAATCAAATTGCTGGCACATTCCTGCTGACAATTACTTTTCGAATAAGTCCTGAAAAGAAAAAGAAAACATTAATATGCGGATTATTTTTTTTTGATAAGCACATCGCATACTTTCCTGATTATTGATTGTTATGTAAATAATTGTCACTAACATTTTTTTGTTATACCTAATTAAATATCACGAATATTTAGAAATGTTTGAGATAATTTTGTCAACAATTTAAATTAATTAAATAGAATTTTAAAATACAATTTTCTTGTTATTGTGGCAACGAGTCGATGTTATTAAACACTTAATTTTGAAAATTTTAAATTAAAATATTTTCTTGAATTAATGAATTTTCATAAATTAAGAAAGATCTTTGAATTAATAAATGATCATGAATTAAATACATAAGAAAATTTATCGAATTAAGTAATTTTCATAAATTACCTAGTAATATCTTTGAATTAAGAATTTTTTTTTAATTAAACAATTTTCTAAATTAAAAAGTATTAATAAAATTTATAGGAATTTTCATGAATTTAGAAAGTTTCTTGTATTATAATGAATTATTCAATTAAAGAATGGCGCCTGTGAATTAAAAAATTTTGCAATAAAACTTAATTGAAGAAATTATGAATTATATAAGAAAATTTAATATATACAGAAATTTTCATTAATTACCTAAGTACTATCATTAAATTAATAATTTTTCTTGAATTAAAATATTTCTAAATTAAGAAAAAAAAAATATTGGAAATTTCATGAACTAAGAAAGTTTCTTGTATTATAATGAATTATCTGCATAAAAAAGTTATTAAATTAAAAAATGTTCAATGAATTACCTAAATAATATCGGAGAAATTATAATATTTTCTTGAAATCATATTTTTTTAAAATAAAAATATTAGATAATTTTCTTGAATCAATAATCTCATATTTTCTTGATAACTTAGTAATGTTCTTGAATTAAAAAATTAAGTATGTAAATATTTCTTAAAATAAGAAATTCTCATGAATTAATGAATTTTCATGAATTAAAGAATTTTTACAAATTAAATCATTTTCTTGAATTAAGTCATGTTCATTAAGCCATTTTTAGACATTTAAGGAATTTTCATTAATTAAGAAAATTGCTTGGATTGAGAACGTTCCTTAAATTACATAGGAAAAATTTATTGAATTAAGAAACTTTCATGAATTAAATTTAATTAAAAAACAATTCATTGAATAACAAAAACAATATTTTATCTTAGTATTTAAATGATCATTAACTTGTTTGTCGCCCAGTGTAAGTATACATTTTGATAAAAAATAATTAAATATCACCTGTAGTATGCCAGTTTTCTTTCGTTTGCAAAATAGCACTGACGCTTATTTACTGGTACACTCCTCAAATTTACAGAAGCTTCACGTACTGAAGGTTTTATAGAAAATCTTGCTTCCACTCCAGGACTTAAAAGAGTACCATAATCTGCCATTTTGGGTGTTTCTATCGGATTTCCTATAATTATCTAAAACATATTTAGTATTAGTAATTATAGAGAATATTGGAAGTATTTGACAGCCAACGTTTTATATTTTGATTTACAAAATACAGTGTGTGTCATAAACTGGATTAATATGGGATATTTTTTTGGGCAGACCGGAGTAGAATCCCGTTTATACCTGCTATAATGACGGTCCAAAATTTAGATGGTTGAGTAGAGTCCAGGGTCAGATTAAGTCATTAAAGGATTAACTACCTATATTTTGAATTTGAATATTTAGTATTATCTATTATTAATATTTCAATAACTATTTATTAATTGTTTATGATCATGACAATTACAAGTTGATTGTTCCCTTTCTACATGCCCAAAAACATGCATAAAATACAAATATTCAATTAGATCTTTTGTTAATTACAGTTTTAGTTTAGTTTACTAACCGACAAGATTAAATCATGAGTGCATTAAAGTTTATACTTAGCGAGAAAGGAAAGGAGCTTCTAGTGTTAGATAGATATAAACAGTGTTGCCAGAATATATTTTTGTAATGTACCAGATTTATCTAAAAAATGTACCAGATTTCATAAAAATGTACTAGATTCTATAAAATTGCCAGATTTTTCTAAATATGAAGTATGGTCATTAAAGAGCAAAAAAAGGTTTATAGAGAACACAACAATTTTAAACAATATTTTATCTCTCGAGCAGTTTTTGAATAAGATTTTAATACCTTTTGATACTCTTTTATCTCTCGAACAGTTTTTAAATCTTTTTTTATCTCTTGAGCTACTTTGAAACAATATTTTATCTCTCGATAAATTTCTAACAGTATTCTATCTCTCGAGCAATTTTTAACAACTTTTTTTATCCCTCGAGCAATGTTTGTACAAAATTTTTTGTAAAATTTTTAACACTATTTAATCATTCGAGTAATTTTTAACAGTTTTTTATCTTTCAAGCTATTTTTGAACAATATTTGATCTCTCGTGCAATTTTTGAGCAAAATATTAACAATTTCTAACACTATTTCATCTCTCGAGCAATTTTTAAAAAAGATTTTAATGCCTTTTGATATTATTTTATCTCTCGAATGGTTTATAAAAATCTTTTTTTATCTCTTGAGCTATTTTTAAAAAATATTTTATCTCTCGATAAATTTCTAACAGTATTCTATCTCTCGACCAATTTTTTTATCCCTCGAGCAATGTTTGTACAATATTTTTTGTACAATTTTAAACACTATTTAATCACTCGAGAAATTTTTAACAGCCTTTTTTTACCTTTCAAGCTATTTTTGAACAATATTTGATGTCCCGTGCAATTTTTGAGCAAAATTTTAACAATTTCTAACACTATTTTATCTCTCGAGCAATTTTTATTAACATTTTTTATCTTTCTAACAATTTTTAAACAATGTTTTATCTCTCGAGAAATGTTTAATAGTATTTTTTAATTCTCGAGTAATTTTTGAATAAGATTTTAATAACTTATTTTATCTCTCGAACAGTTTTTAAACCTTTTTATCTCTTGAGCTATATTTTAAACAATATTTTATCTTTCGATAAATTTCTAACATTATTCTATCTCTCGAGCAATATTTAACAACTTTTTTATCTCTTTAGCAAACTGCACAATATTTTAACTCTCGACAAATTTATAAAAATATTTTAACTCTCGATAAATGTTTAACAATGTTTTATATCTCGAGCAATGTTTGTACAATATTCTATCTCTCGAGCATTTTATAATAGTATATTATCGTTTGAGGAATTTTTAAACAATGTTTTATCTCTCGAGAAATTTAATTCTTTATAGTAGGTATCTCTTGAGTCAATTTTAAACAATATTTTATTTCTCAACAAATTTTTCAATAGTATTTTATCCCTCGAGCAATTTTTGAACAAGGGTTTAAAATTTTGTAATACTATTTTACCTCGAGCAATTTTTGAACACGATTTTAACAATTTATAATACTATTTTTAATCTGTCGAAAAATTATTAAATATTTTTACCTCTCATTAAATTTCTAACAGTATTTTTATCCCTAGAGCAATTTTTGAACAATATTTTACCCCTCAAGCAATTTCTAATACTATTTTATACTTCGACCAATTTTTAACACCCTTTTTTACCTCTCAAGCCATTTTTGAACAATATTTGATCTCTCGTGCAATTTTTAAACAATGTTTTATCTCTCGAGAAATGTCTACTATTTTATCTCTGAAGTAATTTTTAACAACTATTTTAATTTCTCTTGCAATTTTTGACCAATATATTTTACACTTCAAATGGAAAAAACATGCGCTGAAAAAAGTACTAGATTTTGTTTCGAGAGTACTAGAGTACCAGATTCTCAGAGAACGCACTAGATCTAGTACAATTGTACTAGACTGGCAACACTGGATATAAATATCGTTTTCACAAAGAACTATCTGGTGGTATTAAACGTTGGGTGTGTTCTGTAAGTGGAAATAAAAAGTATACGGCCTATTTGAAGACAGAGGGAAAAACAAACATAATAGAAGTTGTCGACAACCATAACCACCCACCACTTGATGAAAAAATTCTTAATAGGAATGAAGTGAGCAATTCCCTAAAAAGAAAAGCCTCAGAAGATTTAAGTGAGAGACCTTTAAAATTAATTCACCGAGAACTAAGGAAAGGAGATGTCGAAACATTGACTAATTGCGATGTCAAATGTATTAGAAACAACATATACAACTCACGAAGGAGCTTTGTACCAAAACTTCCAACTAATCAACAAGAAGTTCACAATGTTCTCAATTCCTATCCTGTTATGACAAATCGGGGCGAAACTTTTCTTCTGGTAAACGACACAGAAAACAATATAATTATGTTCTCATCAAAAAAGACTTTAGAGTTCTTGTGCACTTTGAAATCCATATATGTGGATGGGATATCCAATTGCTGCACCAAATTTTTCCTTCAAATGTTCTCCATTCACGGATTAGCAGGTGACCATTATGTACCTCTAGTCTTTTTCATACTTCCAAATAAGCAAAAGAAAAGTTATATGTTGGCATTAATGTATGCAATAGAAGAATGTCAAAAGATTGGTAAAATATTGGGACCAACGACTGTAGTGGCAGATTTTGAAGAGGCAATCCACCAAAGTGTGCTAGAAACTTGGGCGAAGACAAGTATTGTTGGATGTAGATTTCATTTGGGCCAATCATGGTAAGTTATTGATAAATATTTCAGTGACTAGGGTTAGTTCAATAATGTTTTGCTAGGTTTTGTATCTCTAATACTTATTGATTTTAAGGAAATTAAATTTTAAAAATAGAATGCTCTTATAATTAAGTATTAGAGATTTAAAATATTATTAGGAAAAAAGTTTAATAAAATTTGATTGTCCAAAACTTATAGACGTAATTTTTCTTTAAAAAAATATATATATTTCAATGCTGTCAGTTTACTAAATGCAACATGCACTTTTTAAGTGGCGAAAAATACAACAACTTGGCCTTACTACTGCATACAAGGATAAGGATTCAGAAGTTGGAAAATTTTTGAGAAACTGTTTTGGTTTGCCGTTTCTTAATTCAATAGATGTTGGAGACTGTTTTGCTATTGATTTAATTTCTTCTCAACCCAGCAATTCCAAACTTACATCATTCGCAGATTATCTTGTAGATACTTACATAACAGAATCGTCCAAATTTCCACCATACATATGGGCTGAAAATACAAGTAGTGTTAAGAGAACTACAAATGCCTGCGAAAGTTTTCATTCACGGTTTAATTCTGCATTTTACCATGCACATCCTCATATTTTTCAATTTATTTCGGTTTTAATAGATTTTCAAAGTGATACCTACATAAAGATAAGGACAGCGCAACAAAATGAAAAGAAAATATACTCTGCAAAAACTATAGAAAACAAACAATTTTTAGATGACAAGATAATATGGCAATTAAAAAATCATGATATAACAAACTTGGAATTTATTAAGGTAGTTGGAAATCGATTTAAAATGTAGAAAACCTAATTTTGTAGTTTATGTAAATATAAAATAAATCACCCTTATTTTAGGTTTAAAAATATTTATAGCACTGTGAACGATTAATAAATACATTTTTTTTTATCAATCTGGTTTACTTTATTACCATGTTCCCTAAAAAATATACTAAAAAAAATAAAATAATTCAGGTACCTGAGATAATGAGCTTCGGACTCTACTCAACCATCTCCGGGACTCTACTCGGACATCATTTAAAGGGACCTAGAGAAGTCGGGACTCTACTCGAGATCACCGATTTTTTTAATATTACGATTAGAAAAAAATAATTTACTTGGAAATTGCAAAATCATCCATAAAATTCCAAGTGCTTTGGAATAATTTAAATATTCGTAAACACTGTCAAACATTATTAAGAAAAATTGGTATAAAATTGTTGTTTTTTTTTGTACCTGTTAGGCGTTCTTAATGAATTCAAAATTGTCAGTTACGGATGCGATCCAAAAAATGTTAATAATAAAAGCTATTTTTTGAATGATTTTTCAAAAAAAATTGCGAATTTGACAGATAACTAATGCAGGTGCCGTCACGAAAAAGACGCCGAAGATATTTTTTCATTTTTACCAATGTCTGAAAAAATAGAATGATTATGCCTACTTGAGCCGTGTATGCTGAAATTAAGATTAAGTAGGTAATAATATCTAACTAAATAATCTATAAAATGTATTATTATTGTTCCTTCTGATGGAATGGTCACTCGTATTAAATACTTTGTTGAAAAATTTAATAAGAAAGTAAATAGCTACATTTTCAAGATTGATTATTTTTCAGAAGGTAAGGTGAGAATATTAGATGTAGTAAATAACAAGGGTAATTTAATATATAAAACTAATATTTGTGACAAAATTTTATCGAGAATACAACAAAAAAAAAGAAAACAATTTAATTTTCATTAATTACTGCTCAAATAACAATGATTTATCTCTACGACTTAACAATCAAAAAATCTGATGGGCCCAAAACATGACTTTCCTATCTAGTTATTATAGGCTTTTTCCAGTTATTTTGTACAACCTATTGCAGCACCTCTATAAATATTTAGAGGATAAACTAAATATGTACAATTTCCACATACATACCACATATCTCGAAACATTTTTCTATAGATATTCATTGAAAACGAAAATACTGAAAAATTTAAATTTAGCACTCTTCCTCCAATTTTTCCATTACGGTCCATTTTAGAAAAATCATATATAAACAAAAATTATTGAGATCGATATCGCAAACAACTTTTAGTTCAACAATTTTTATAAAAATCAGAATTTTGCACATTTTGTCAAATTTCTGGAATACGGACCATTTCAGGAAATTTTGAAATGAAGCAAAAATTATAGATAATAATATTAGAAATAACTTTTATTAGAAAAATTCTCTTCTCCAAACATAACAGCCCTAAATGCCAGTAGCCAGTTTTGATGTAGACTATGTTAAGTTTTTGAAATATGAAGAGGTGATTACCCTACGACGTCTTTTTCAATCGTAATATTAAAAAAAATTACGTATTCATCCAACTTTATGGCACACACTGTATATCAGTTATGTTTATGAATCATCATGTTCACTTATAACTTACTTTAAAGCCAATGCTGCTGGTAGACGAACAATAATATTCGTCTACTTGAGCGTCTAAAACTATTGAAAGTCCTAAATGTGCTCCAGCACCTGTAAAATACAAACGACATTTTTATTTAATTTATTAATTTCCGGAAATATTTTACCTAAAGGCCTTTTGGGTATGTATGTATCATTGTATCCTTCTGGAAAGCCAGTTTCTGGAGTCCAATCGTAAATGTACTCTGAATATGTTTGATTCAATTGTAGTGAGACTTCGCTTCTACAAAGGGGATAAAAAGATGAAATACCAGGAAAGAAAATTACTTCATTGCAGGAAGATACGTGTTGATCATTAAAGAGAAATATAATGCAATCAAACAAATATAAACTTGTTATTGTTTTACTTACGGATTTCTGAAAATATATTTCGGTGGTAGTCTGTTAAAAGAACAACATAGTCCTTCATCAGTTAAGTCATTATTAAATAAATCGTCACAACTTCTTCCATTGCTAGACCATTTGCATTGCTTGAGCATATCTGAGCAAGAATTACCCACCTATGATTAGAAAACTCTTTATTAGACTAGAACTCTTGGAAAAACTATAAAAATACATTTAATGATGATGCTGACGATGATTCTAAAACTTTACGTATAACGACCAAAATTTGGATATTGCTGATGGTTGTAAAACTGTTTTACATACTCAAATCTAAAATCTGGACAATAGTTACTGACAATTATTGTAAAACTGTTTTATGCACTATAATCTATAAAATGATGATGCTGGAAAAGGTATAAGAGTTTCATACATTAAAATTGTGACAACGGTAATGATGGATAAAACTGTAAAACTGTAAAACTGTAAAACTGTAAAAAAACTGTAAAACTGTAAAACTGTAAAACTGTAAAACTGTAAAACTGTAAAACTGTAAAACTGTAAAACTGTAAAACTGTAAAACTGTAAAACTGTAAAACTGTAAAACTGTAAAACTGTAAAACTGTAAAACTGTAAAACTGTAAAACTGTAAACTGTAAAACTGTAAAACTGTAAAACTGTAAAACTGTAAAACTGTAAAACTGTAAAACTGTAAAACTGTAAAACTGTAAAACTGTAAAACTGTAAAACTGTAAAACTGTAAAACTGTAAAACTGTAAAACTGTAAAACTGTAAAACTGTAAAACTGTAAAACTGTAAAACTGTAAAACTGTAAAACTGTAAAACTGTAAAACTGTAAAACTGTAAAACTGTAAAACTGTAAAACTGTAAAACTGTAAAACTGTAAAACTGTAAAACTGTAAAACTGTAAAACTGTAAAACTGTAAAACTGTAAAACTGTAAAACTGTAAAACTGTAAAACTGTAAAACTGTAAAACTGTAAAACTGTAAAACTGTAAAACTGTAAAACTGTAAAACTGTAAAACTGTAAAACTGTAAAACTGTAAAACTGTAAAACTGTAAAACTGTAAAACTGTAAAACTGTAAAACTGTAAAACTGTAAAACTGTAAAACTGTAAAACTGTAAAACTGTAAAACTGTAAAACTGTAAAACTGTAAAACTGTAAAACTGTAAAACTGTAAAACTGTAAAACTGTAAAACTGTAAAACTGTAAAACTGTAAAACTGTAAAACTGTAAAACTGTAAAACTGTAAAACTGTAAAACTGTAAAACTGTAAAACTGTAAAACTGTAAAACTGTAAAACTGTAAAACTGTAAAACTGTAAAACTGTAAAACTGTAAAACTGTAAAACTGTAAAACTGTAAAACTGTAAAACTGTAAAACTGTAAAACTGTAAAACTGTAAAACTGTAAAACTGTAAAACTGTAAAACTGTAAAACTGTAAAACTGTAAAACTGTAAAACTGTAAAACTGTAAAACTGTAAAACTGTAAAACTGTAAAACTGTAAAACTGTAAAACTGTAAAACTGTAAAACTGTAAAACTGTAAAACTGTAAAACTGTAAAACTGTAAAACTGTAAAACTGTAAAACTGTAAAACTGTAAAACTGTAAAACTGTAAAACTGTAAAACTGTAAAACTGTAAAACTGTAAAACTGTAAAACTGTAAAACTGTAAAACTGTAAAACTGTAAAACTGTAAAACTGTAAAACTGTAAAACTGTAAAACTGTAAAACTGTAAAACTGTAAAACTGTAAAACTGTAAAACTGTAAAACTGTAAAACTGTAAAACTGTAAAACTGTAAAACTGTAAAACTGTAAAACTGTAAAACTGTAAAACTGTAAAACTGTAAAACTGTAAAACTGTAAAACTGTAAAACTGTAAAACTGTAAAACTGTAAAACTGTAAAACTGTAAAACTGTAAAACTGTAAAACTGTAAAACTGTAAAACTGTAAAACTGTAAAACTGTAAAACTGTAAAACTGTAAAACTGTAAAACTGTAAAACTGTAAAACTGTAAAACTGTAAAACTGTAAAACTGTAAAACTGTAAAACTGTAAAACTGTAAAACTGTAAAACTGTAAAACTGTAAAACTGTAAAACTGTAAAACTGTAAAACTGTAAAACTGTAAAACTGTAAAACTGTAAAACTGTAAAACTGTAAAACTGTAAAACTGTAAAACTGTAAAACTGTAAAACTGTAAAACTGTAAAACTGTAAAACTGTAAAACTGTAAAACTGTAAAACTGTAAAACTGTAAAACTGTAAAACTGTAAAACTGTAAAACTGTAAAACTGTAAAACTGTAAAACTGTAAAACTGTAAAACTGTAAAACTGTAAAACTGTAAAACTGTAAAACTGTAAAACTGTAAAACTGTAAAACTGTAAAACTGTAAAACTGTAAAACTGTAAAACTGTAAAACTGTAAAACTGTAAAACTGTAAAACTGTAAAACTGTAAAACTGTAAAACTGTAAAACTGTAAAACTGTAAAACTGTAAAACTGTAAAACTGTAAAACTGTAAAACTGTAAAACTGTAAAACTGTAAAACTGTAAAACTGTAAAACTGTAAAACTGTAAAACTGTAAAACTGTAAAACTGTAAAACTGTAAAACTGTAAAACTGTAAAACTGTAAAACTGTAAAACTGTAAAACTGTAAAACTGTAAAACTGTAAAACTGTAAAACTGTAAAACTGTAAAACTGTAAAACTGTAAAACTGTAAAACTGTAAAACTGTAAAACTGTAAAACTGTAAAACTGTAAAACTGTAAAACTGTAAAACTGTAAAACTGTAAAACTGTAAAACTGTAAAACTGTAAAACTGTAAAACTGTAAAACTGTAAAACTGTAAAACTGTAAAACTGTAAAACTGTAAAACTGTAAAACTGTAAAACTGTAAAACTGTAAAACTGTAAAACTGTAAAACTGTAAAACTGTAAAACTGTAAAACTGTAAAACTGTAAAACTGTAAAACTGTAAAACTGTAAAACTGTAAAACTGTAAAACTGTAAAACTGTAAAACTGTAAAACTGTAAAACTGTAAAACTGTAAAACTGTAAAACTGTAAAACTGTAAAACTGTAAAACTGTAAAACTGTAAAACTGTAAAACTGTAAAACTGTAAAACTGTAAAACTGTAAAACTGTAAAACTGTAAAACTGTAAAACTGTAAAACTGTAAAACTGTAAAACTGTAAAACTGTAAAACTGTAAAACTGTAAAACTGTAAAACTGTAAAACTGTAAAACTGTAAAACTGTAAAACTGTAAAACTGTAAAACTGTAAAACTGTAAAACTGTAAAACTGTAAAACTGTAAAACTGTAAAACTGTAAAACTGTAAAACTGTAAAACTGTAAAACTGTAAAACTGTAAAACTGTAAAACTGTAAAACTGTAAAACTGTAAAACTGTAAAACTGTAAAACTGTAAAACTGTAAAACTGTAAAACTGTAAAACTGTAAAACTGTAAAAAAACTGTAAAACTGTAAAACTGTAAAACTGTAAAACTGTAAAACTGTAAAACTGTAAAACTGTAAAACTGTAAAACTGTAAAACTGTAAAACTGTAAAACTGTAAAACTGTAAAACTGTAAAACTGTAAAACTGTAAAACTGTAAAACTGTAAAACTGTAAAACTGTAAAAAACTGTAAAACTGTAAAACTGTAAAACTGTAAAACTGTAAAACTGTAAAACTGTAAAACTGTAAAACTGTAAAACTGTAAAACTGTAAAACTGTAAAACTGTAAAACTGTAAAACTGTAAAACTGTAAAACTGTAAAACTGTAAAACTGTAAAACTGTAAAACTGTAAAACTAAAACTGTTTTTATACTACAATCCATAAAATGGTGATATTGACGATTGTAAAACAGTTTCACGCTATCATATCTGACAATGTTGATACTAATGATTATGAAACATTTATAAATTCTAAAATACAGACAATAATGATGCTGATAATTTCTGTATAACTTTTTTATGTGGTAAATCTATAAAATGGTGACGCTGACGATTGGATTACTGTTTTACAACTCAAATCGGGACAAATGGTGATTATGACGATTGTAAACTCTTTTATATACTAGAGCCTACACAATGGTGATACCGATGAGTGTAAAACTGCTAACAATCGTCTCCTGGTGACACTGATATTGAAGAAATCGCGCATTTAATTTTATTACTTTGGTGCAAAGGTGTAAATATGTTTGTTTGTTTATTTGGGTACAGTCCATTCAAATGATTAAAAATAATTAATGGTAATCACCCTTATAAGAAAATTGCGTAGATTCGTCCAGTTATATCCTGTAGAATCAGTGGAATTAATAGTTTCGTTGCTATTGCATATATCGTCCAACAGTTTTAAATCTCTTGGATTTCTAAAAGGATAAATTACTCGAATTATAATGGATATTTCGCATACATTCTGCCAAATAACAAAACTTTCAATATCAAGTGAATTAATCTTCTTACCCATCAGCTTTGATTTTGATGACCTCTGTCTTTTTGGCTTGGTTCATATTGCAAATGGTGACTGCAGGGAATGGTATGTCTTGCAATTGTGCGTCAAATGGACTAAAACTGATTATTACAGGAGAGGAATTCCATTTATCGTAAATATTGGTGATGTAGTAAGCCGCGAAACCAATTGCCACTGAGAACGCGATTAACCAAAAAACCCTTGGAAAAAAAATAAAAAATAAACTTCTGGTTTTCATACAGGGAAACCTTTATGAGGACAGGTTATGTCTATATAACTAAAAGCCTACCTTTCACACAAAGTAAGAGAAGTGTCACCAACGTATCGAAGGCCATGCAAAGTTGTTTTATCGCAATAATGTTCGAGTTCTTCTAAAAGTTTACCACGGACGCTCTTATGATGTTGGTCTTGTTTTCTAATTTTGTTTGAAAAACTATGTAAGCTCCTAAAAGGAAAAATTCACTTCGCTTAAAATACAACTTATAACAGTGACAAAACAGGCTTCTTGTTTCTGACATTTTCTTTCACAAATAATCAAAGTATGGGTTAAATTACAATTAAAATTTATTATTGATTATTGATTGATTAGACTTCGGTTTTGTAGAAAGTATACTTCATTAGGTTTTCGAGGAAATGTGTTAAGTTGGTCAATGTCATATTCAAGACATAAAAAGATTATTGTCAACGGAGTTCCGCTTGGATCCTTCTTGGATCCTTTGATATTTCTTATATTTTATTGACATCAGAACTGGGCAGTACTAGAGTAAATTGTACTCAAACTTGTACTTTAGTACTCAAAGTACTCAGTAATAATTGATACTCGTGAGTATTTTCATCCTAATAGGAATTTATATTTTGGAATATTTAGTACTTCTGATTTCTTCAGTTGACGAGTAACGAGTAACGAGTAACGAGTAACGAGTAACGAGTAACGAGTAACGAGTAACGAGTAACGAGTAACGAGTAACGAGTAACGAGTAACGAGTAACGAGTAACGAGTAACGAGTAACGAGTAACGAGTAACGAGTAACGAGTAACGAGTAACGAGTAACGAGTAACGAGTAACGAGTAACGAGTAACGAGTAACGAGTAACGAGTAACGAGTAACGAGTAACGAGTAACGAGTAACGAGTAACGAGTAACGAGTAACGAGTAACGAGTAACGAGTAACGAGTAACGAGTAACGAGTAACGAGTAACGAGTAACGAGTAGCGAGTAACGAGTAACGAGTAACGAGTAACGAGTAACGAGTAACGAGTAACGAGTAACGAGTAACGAGTAACGAGTAACGAGTAACGAGTAACGAGTAACGAGTAACGAGTAACGAGTAACGAGTAACGAGTAACGAGTAACGAGTAACGAGTAACGAGTAACGAGTAACGAGTAACGAGTAACGAGTAACGAGTAACGAGTAACGAGTAACGAGTAACGAGTAACGAGTAACGAGTAACGAGTAACGAGTAACGAGTAACGAGTAACGAGTAACGAGTAACGAGTAACGAGTAACGAGTAACGAGTAACGAGTAACGAGTAACGAGTAACGAGTAACGAGTAACGAGTAACGAGTAACGAGTAACGAGTAACGAGTAACGAGTAACGAGTAACGAGTAACGAGTAACGAGAAACGAGTAACGAGTAACGAGTAACGAGTAACGAGTAACGAGTAACGAGTAACGAGTAACGAGTAACGAGTAACGAGTAACGAGTAACGAGTAACGAGTAACGAGTAACGAGTAACGAGTAACGAGTAACGAGTAACGAGTAACGAGTAACGAGTAACGAGTAACGAGTAACGAGTAACGAGTAACGAGTAACGAGTAACGAGTAACGAGTAACGAGTAACGAGTAACGAGTAACGAGTAACGAGTAACGAGTAACGAGTAACGAGTAACGAGTAACGAGTAACGAGTAACGAGTAACGAGTAACGAGTACGAGTACTTACGCGCGTACCGGCCCATGCAAGGTCTGAGCTTGTCTTGTTTGTTGTTACTTACCGAACTACATTGCTTACTATTATTATTTTAATTTTTTGTTTTGGCAGACAGTTTATACAGAGCATAGGTATGGTAGGTGTGAGTTGCTAAGATTACGAAGTGTTATTTGGTAATTTGGTCTTTGGTGCTAACTATCCAAAAATGTAATGATAATAAGAACGAATCCATTTATAAAAGGTAATTGAATTTTTGGTGACGAGTAACGAGTAACGAGTAACGAGTACGAGTACTTACGCGCGTACCGGCCCATGCAAGGTCTGAGCTTGTCTTGTTTGTTGTTACTTACCGAACTACATTGCTTACTATTATTATTTTAATTTTTTGTTTTGGCAGACAGTTTATACAGAGCATAGGTATGGTAGGTGTGAGTTGTTAAGATTACGAAGTGTTATTTGGTAATTTGGTCTTTGGTGCTAACTATCCAAAAATGTAATGATAATAAGAACGAATCCATTTATAAAAGGTAATTGAATTTTTGGTTTTGAAAGATTAATTATTATTCGCAGTATCGTAAATGCAAATACGTATATGTACATTAGACTCTGTTTAAAAGCCAGGAGGAGCGATTTAAATTTAAGTTGGCAATTCTGTAGACTTCTGATTGGTCATCAGACTGCAGTCAGTTTCACACATCACTTTTTAGCAATTACATCACCCTATAATTGATATTTTAAATCAGAGTGATTTAACGAAAAATTCAAGGATGTAAGACATAATTATAAAATTTTTAGTCACTAACTAGAATTATTTAAAATACTCACTCGTTACTCGATTTTTTCACAAGTACTCTCTAGAATTTGTAAATGATACTTATTAGTACTTTGTGAAGCTACTCATTGTTAAGTACTTATGAATACCTACTTTAATCTGCCCTTAATCTCTGACCTAACCTATAATGTCTGCTCTAATCTTTAATCTCTGCCCAGCTTTGGTTGGCACACATTTTCACGATATCAAATAATATATATATCATATCCAGTGAATATTATAGATCAATGATTTTGATCCACACCATATATCAAATAGATATGGAATATTTCTTACCCAGTATTATCAAATGGTGATACATTCAATTTCAAATCATTATTATCATTAATTTTGAGTATTGGCAGACCGCTTCTAAGTTTTTGGTTTTCAATACCTGCTGCTATCCGTCTAGGACGAATGATACTATCAGATTTTAACATTTTACCTGAAACAAAATATATCTTCTTGAAATTAGCGATCCAAGAGATGTTTTTTCTGTTACCGGAGTCACATCCAAAATCAGTTTTTTTTTAAAGCTTCTGTTGTGTTAATTGGTCATCCGAATCAGAACCAACAGAAAGATAGTAAGTAATAAGTAAAGAAAAGGAATTGAAGGTGACAGCTACAGAGATTAGTCTTAAACCGCCTGAGAAATATCTTGAGACTTCAGTTGACAGAGGATGCCTAATCCATTTGGCTACACTAGTGGTAGTGGATGATGCAGAAGACATAGAGAAAATAACAAATTGATCTTTAGAAGATGGAGAAGAAATAGCACTAAATCTTTACTAATAGTACAGCAAGCAAGATGTGGCACGATTTGAAATAAAATGATTCCAAATAGCTCCTCTTATAAATCTCGGCAGACACATTGTGTTCGGCTTGCATATTATCATCTGAGAAGCCCAGAATACTTGAAACAAATAGTATGGAGATGGAAATACACATAACCTAGCTTATATCGAACCACTATGTATTTCTGAATAAACTTTTTGTAAGGAAAAAATTTGGTATCCAACTTTAAGATAAGGCTTTTTGTTCAAAATAAACATGATAATAAAGAAGAAACGACTGTTGCGATTTATTATCTTATGAATTTTGTATTCAGAAGTAAAATCACGATCCTCCGGTAATTTTATTTCGGTACAAATAAACAACAAAATACCTTATTTTAGACTAACAGATGCACAAAGGGGAAGAATTATTGCTCTTATTGAAAAGGAATATCCCAATGAGACATAGGAGAGGTGGTAGGCGATACTCAGGGTGTTGTTTATGAAACTTATAAAAGGTACTTGGAACTAGAAATTCTCAAGAACAGGCCTAGATAAAGTCGTCTGAACAACAGAACCGCTCTGTGTGTCAAATTGCTAGAATAAATCCCAGTGTTTCTCATCCAGAGCTACAACGACAACTTCTGGAAGCTACCGGTGTGAACCTTTCAGCTGAAACCCTAAGAAAAAGACTTCACGCTCGAGGGTTGTACAGTAGGAGAGAGTAACGGGTCCCACCGTTATCTAGGCAAAATAAAATTCACCGGCTAAATTGGTGCTTTTAACACCAAAACTGGGCAATTGAGAATTGGCAAAATGTTCTTTTTTTTGATTGGATCATAATTGGCCCAAGATCAGAAAATCATCGAATTTGGGTTCTCAGAGCTCCAGGAATATGAGCGAGATCCCACGCTGCTAGATCTGTCCCAAGATATCAAGTAAGAACTGTAATGTTTTGGGGAGGTATTGTGCTGGGAGCAAAAAGTCCATTGTTACCAACCACTTCAACAAACTTTAACCGGTTCGAGGTAAGTTGATTTAGTGCTAGAACCAATCATTAAGCTTTGGAGAGCTGCAATTAGGGATAATTTTATGCTGGGAGCAAAAAGTCCATTGTTACCATTTCAACAAACTTTAACCGGTCCGAGGTAAGTTGATTTAGTGCTAGAACCAATCATTAGGCTTTGGAGAGCTGCAATTAGGGATAATTTTATCTTTGTGCACGATAATGCACCTCCCCATACCAGCAGAGTGGCTAGAGAATGTCTTGAATTGAAAGGTGTCACAGTTTTAGACTGGCCTGTATATTCACCAGACCTAAATCCTATCAAAGATTTGTGGGACCAGCTCAAAAGAGGGTTAGAGCTCGTCGAAACAATGCAGGAAATGTCGCACAGCTTATTGATGCAGCATTAGCAGAATGTGAAAACATACTTCAAGACAATGTTGACCATAAGAAGCATGCCAAGGCGAATAGAAGCTTGCACAAGGGCTAGACGTGGTAACACGGATTGTTAAATTTATCAATTTTCTTTTTATTTTTGCTTTTCGGCTATTAAAAATTTAAATCTCATTTCATTTCAGAAACCAAAAAATACCATTGTGTTAATTTTGTAAACTAATTGATTATTTTTATTTCCATTTGGGTTATTTGTCATTAAAAGTTTTTGGTGAGGACCGAGTGTTTTCATAAATAAAAAATGTTCAAACATCTCAAAATTTATGAAAAATAGTAGATGATTCCACATAAGTTTGGTTGTGTGTATTACTATGGGTTGTTCAATCCGTAATTCTAGCTAGAATCTCTCTATGGTTGGAAGCTATGAATGTAAGAACATAGAGGTCAATAGTGGAGGGAGTTCTAAGTGCACTTTTGGATTCCATCTTAGATATTCCTAGGAGATGTCGCTTCAGGATCTCTATACATATACCTAATGTGAAATTGAACTGATATTTCCTGCCAACCTGAAAGTGTTCTATAGTGTTCAAACTAGACAAAACGCTCTTACTATATCAAACTAAAAGGATAGTACCAATAAATTAGAGTAATTGAGAAAAAATCTTACCCATCAAACTAGTAATAGTGGGATACTTCTTTTCCTTCTTAAATTTGACTCCGTGTCGCAGTCCAACGAAGTTCAACAGAGTCATTGGGCGCGGAATGAATGTAAGAAGAATATTCCATTACCGCCATTAGGCAAAAAAATCGTTTTATTCAACTTTAATTACGACAAAGTGTATGTCTGTGTATCGCTCGCGTGACTTTTTTAACAAATTGCGTTTAATCATAATCAAGTTCGTCTATCTAAGGGCATGTGTTGGATGGTTTGTTTGCTATGTGCAGGGTTAATATGTTAGTTGACAGTTAAATCGCTTGGTATTGCTTACCTTAGATCCTAATTGTTCCTGAAGGAACAGGGAGGGCTTCGGTGTGTGTAATTGAGGAAGGGCTCATTAGTAATCTTTGGGTAAATTAATATAATTAAGCAAATATTCAAATGATCAAATGACCAGTAGCAGTTACCTCAAATTAATAGTAGTAGAGACGAAACAAATAATATTTTTGAAAGAAAAGATGCTCAGAGGAACTGGGGCAGTCATTAAAGAGGAGAAGCTGGAATTGGTGAACTAGCAGACAAAATTGGTTGGAAAAATGTGTGGTCCCAAAACAGTAAAATTTATATTATTCATAAAGAAAAAATTTAGCGGATCAAAAGATCTTCATCAATTTGCTAACGAACAATAAACTGTTACGCCACGAAATATCATTAATTTTTCTTTTAAATCTGTCACTATCTCTTTTATTGGATTTTTCTGTTTCTTTTCTTACTGTATTGAATATTATTTTTATATACTTATTTTTTTATACTATTATTTATTTAGTATGTAGTACGGGACAACTCAGGTACAACTTAAACGAGGCCACAAAATATGTTAAACATTTTGAGTTGGTTTAGGTAGTCAAAATGAAACTGACACTAAAGAATTTAATAATTTCCAGGAATAAATAGATAAGGTAGAGAGGAGCAAAGTAGAAAGCGGAATAGGGTTAGTTCATTTTAGTATTGAAGCCTGAGGAAAAGTTTTGGCGAATAATTATTATATTATTTATGACATTATTGTTTTGACAGAAATAGGCAAAATAGAATGAAAACAACAACAAAATTATGACTATCACTTTTTTTCTTAAACTAGTAGGAGCGATTTGAATTTAAGTTGCCAATTCTGTAAACTTCTGATTGCTCAGATTGTCAGATTATAGTCAGTTTTACACTTATGCCAGGTATGAAGAGAGGACTCGTAACTTCGCAGGAAATTGTGTTCCATTTTGACACCAATGCTATTTGACCATGTTAGAAATAAAACAATTTATTTATTTTATTAGTACTTTATTGATCTTTTTAGGTATAAAGCAAGTTTAGAGAGTAACAATTAAAATAAATGAGGAACAATAAATAAGACCCAAGAAAAATTTATAAAAAAAGATATTTTTAAATTATATTATATAAAAATATTTTTGATTTGTATTAAAAAGTTTATATTTGAAAAATAAAAGTGTATGTAGGTAGGTATATTAGGTTTAATGCCCTGGAAAAGGGCAAGAGTAGCACTAATCCCCAAAGGACACTTCGAAGAGAATAAGTTTAGGGCGATATGCATTCTCTACGTGCTAGGAAAACTACTCGAACATTTGATAAAGAACAAGATGGAGGCATATGTAATATTGTCTGATACACAATACGGATTTCACGAACCAATCCACGATAGAAGCAGTTGAAGCTATTTTCAGGAACACTGGCCACAAATGGTCAGCCATGATAAGCATAGACGTGAAAAACGCATTCAACACGGCGAAATGGACCAATATACTGAGAAGGTTACAAAAATAAAACGCACCAACGTGGTTGTTGAACCTGATAAGAAGCTACTTCGAAGATAGAGAAATATATTCTAGAGGCTACGAGAAAAAATAACACAAGGGGTCCCCCAAGGATCTGTACTGGGTCCAATGCTGTGGAATGTGCTATACAACGAAGTTCTGAAATTAAAACTCCCCTATACTGCGAAACAGTGGCCTATGCAGATGACCTAACATTGATAGTCCGTGCTACCTCAAAAGAGAGCCTAATGGGGAAAGATATTCCTTCCCTTTACCTAATAAGCGAATGGCTGGAAGCCAACAATCTTACCATTGCTTACCATCAGACAGAAGCTGTTGTTTTTAAGGGCGCGAGAAAAATAGAGGATATAAACTTCTCCATAAGAGGAACCGTTATACACCCCACAAAGAGCGCTAGATGCCTAAGAGTCTACATAGATGATAAACTAATATTCAACGAGCATATAAAAAAAAACAGTCGAAAAAGCTGAAAAATCTCACGTAGCACTGGTAAAACTAATGCCAAACATAGGAGGCCCAAGTAACGAGAAAAGGGGTGTTCTCAGTCTTGTCGTCCACTCAATTCTCATTTATGGAGCTCCGATATGGCACAGAGTATCTGAATAAAAAAAAACATGCTAATAGGCACCCAGAGGAAGATGCTGATAAAAGGGATCAGCGCTTATCGCACCATATCTGTGGACGCAGCAAATGTTATTGCCGGGATAACACCTATTCAGCTTATGGTAAAGGGACGTGAAAGACTACACCGCAGAAAAAAAACGGCACTGCAATCAACAATACAATTAGGATGGAAGAATCAGACCGTACGAGAAGAATGTGGCAAAATAAATGGGAGCAGACCACGAACGTAGCACAATGGACAAAAACCTGAATTCCCAAACTGGATAACTGGTTGAAATGCGAATATCGGAAACTAAATTATTTTCTCAATCAATTTCTTTGCGGACACGGCTCATTTCGCACGTATACCAAAAGGTTCGGCAAAGCAGCAGACGCTGAATGCATGTACTGCAGGGAGGAGGTCACGCCGGAACACACCATTTTTGCGTAGATCCGTTGGAACATGGAAAGGACAGATAATGCAGATAACGAACTTCCTAGCCCCCAAAACATTGTGGAAAAAATGACGAAAACCAAGAAAAGTGGAATAATAACACAAAATTTATAATCAATGGCATGCATAGGAAAGAAGAAGAACGCGACTACCAGCAAATGGGAGGAAGATAAAAAAAGCAAACAACATGAGGACTGGAAGCCCCCACCCCATGGGCGAAGTTAGGGGGGGGCTTGGGGGGGCTAAGCCCCCCCAAAAACCAAATTAGCCCCCCCAAAAATAATTCAAACATTTATCGCACATCCATCCACACATTTCAGATTTCAGAAAAGAAATTAATAAATAAAAAAAAATCGTGCCTTTTGATTGATTCTGAAATTTTATATTTAGTTCAGGAGGCAGTGAATTTTACTCGTACTCATTTTTCCAATCGGTGTATATGAAAATAAACTGTTCTCTTAGTGACAAAAAACCAACATTTTGAGTCTGACACTTATTTTCCCAGTCATAAATATTTTACATTTACTAAACTACAACATAAAGTTTATAAAAATAGCAGTTTGGAATATATCAGATAGTGGAAAGTGAGTGTGGCAGAAAATTTAGCATATAAATTGATACAATCATGAACTGTTAATAATAATAAATCTGGCTGATTTACGAAATTGGCAAATGAGTCTGGTAACATCTTCAAAATCGAAAAAATATAATATTTTTGATTTTATTTTCCCGGGTTTGAAAATTTGTCACGTGATAGATTATATTATAATTTTACAGCTCTATTTTATAGCAGATCAAATACCGTTATTTTAAAATGCTTCCATGAAAAATTTCCGGAAATTTTCCTTTTGGTGGGTACCCTGAACGAAATTATACTGAAAATTGTTTTGACAGTTGAGAAGCTCTTTTATGCATATGTTTTATATGGCCAGCTTTGAAAATTTGATTTTAGTCGTTTTAATGCATGTCTGTCTAGTTTTGAAATTTGGATATTTTGGTGTAAAATATTCTTACCCAATACCTACCACTGGTGCCTAAATTATTATCAGCATATTTTAAGAAAAATATCCATCGTCTTCAACTCAGGATAAATTTCAAAATATTCGTAAGTTCGAAAAAAATTTCGGAAATAATTTAGGCACTAGTGGTATTCTAAGTGAAAATATACGTCTGGCTGACAATTACAATCACGAAGGCCTGCCAGACTCACAAGTAGTGTCCGACCGAAGGTTCGGTTACGGTTTTGGCCAACTTCGGCTTAAAATAAGAGTTTCGACTACTACTTTCGAAAGTTTTCGTATCACACTTGGTTGTGTCCGGCACAATGGCGACTGTGCCGGGTGCCATTCCTACACAGTGCACGTACTTCTCTGCTTTGTTTCAAGTGAACAGTCTTCAGTGCTCCTGGCCTAATTTATTCGGATCGAAGGAGCAATTTTTTAGGTGAAACGTGGAAAAAATATTATTTCTAGCCTGCCACGTTAGACTGTTTACTTATGAATATTAATTTAATTATAAGTAACAAACATATTTAATTATCTGAATTTGTTTTTTTTTTAATAAAAATTACATTATATATAATTCCATTCATAATATTATTTTTTGTTACAAAAAATCTAGAGACAGATGCAGGAATGATTGCTACTTTGTAATTAACTTTTTTTTTTTTTAGTTTCAAAAGTAATAAAAAAAACAATGTCAATAAATTTATTAATGGCTTCTTGATCACTTAAATAAATAGGTAATAAGTAAATGTAGCTAAAATTTATAGTACGAGTTAATTAGTCTTAAACAAGGATTACAATAAGATATTGCAAATTTCAATAAGAGATTGCCTTAAAAGAAAGTTCTTATTTCTGTTTCGGTTTCGACCGAAACTAAGAAAGGTGCCGAAATTGGGTTTTGGTTTTGGTTATAAAACCGTATTTCGGTCGGACCTGACAAGCCAGGTAGTTAAAAGAGGAGAGGAATAGTAATCTAACGTGCAGAATTTAGCGCGCCTGACGATCATTAGACAAGTCCGGCAAGGCTTTCGGGGTGTTCCACATTAGCCAGATTGTATTTTAAGCTGTTATCATAGTATATATTTTTCCAGTACTGAGAACACTGGTAACAGGGATCCTTACTGGGCATTGCCAACTAAAAGGACACCTTAGTAGAAAATAGTGAGTGAAGATTCTGTGAGGAGAAGGA